CACTTTCAACATAAATAAAATGACTTCAATTACCAACCTAGCAGGAAGTCAATATGAAGTCCTTCCTTGAAATTAAAAAATTACAGTTCAGCACATCTCTTGGCTTTAAAAAAAATCTCATACAGTGGGATGCGTCTAAAATGAACAATCAAGAGAGAGACAGGGAAGCATTAATTTACAGACAGAAGCCCAGATGAAACAATCAAGCATCAAAATCCAGAAATGAGAAGAAAACCTAGAAGGGTAATATAAACCAATGGATTGTATATAATTAAGATCATTAGGCAGATTGTACTAGGAAAAAACAACAAATATGTTAGACAAAAATTAAGCAGAAAAAAAGCAGACTAACTGGGAACAGGAATGTGATGACACTGGTTGAAGCAACTGTAGTAATCAAAAGTGTTTGCTGACAATATAAAACTTTTCACTATATATTGGAATGTTTTCAAACCAATAAAAATGAGAGGACTAAGCCTTAATCTTGTATGGAACTATTTGTTAAGTAAGATTTATTGAACTCAGTGGGACTGGTTTCCAAGGTTAGGGATATAAAAGTGCTTTGTACCATTGTGCTCGCTTCTGTAGCACATATACTAAAAGTGCTTTGTATCATTTAAACCTGTTGAATATCCTTTATGGAATGAGTTCTATGTGTAGACAGAAGTTCTTACTGTTTAAAAATTCAGTTAGTACTATACTTGATGCTGCTTTGTTGTTTACTAAAAGGGTAATGGTGGACAGTCTGGGGTGAATATAAGTTGTTATATTAGCTGGTTGGCTGAATTTTACAGTATTTTAAGCATGCTACATAGCTGCTGGCCTGGGTTCCAAATTCATTAAAAAAAGTGGGAAAGGGCACCAAGCCAATATAAAGAAATACTGCCAACCTAGCCAAATGAAGACTATTGGAAGCACTGCTTGTAATCTTATTCTGCTCAATTCCAGTTTGCTTCCCATTGGCCTGAAATGCTATCCATGATTTAGAGTGCAGTACTCTTCGAAAATGAATTGGGAAAAGGACTGGGGATTCTGAAGTCAGTTTAACGTCATGTGGCAGTCATGTGGTTTTTGGGTGAATGTGTGTATCTTGGGAAAATTTTTAATCCATTTAAAAACTGTGTTATATATCAGTAAGTGGGGCTACATGGGCTTTTAAAATCATTGCATTTGATGCTCTGTCCTGCACCCACCTGCCTTTGCACTGGTCGTCTCTCACAATTACTAGCTGAATTTTCCATACAAAAGCCCAATGTTGACGTTTTTCGTTATGGGCAACACATGATGGGCAACAGAAATGTCCATGAATGGGGATAGTGCTAATCACCCACGTTTCTCACCTCATAATTTTATATTACATGATTAGCACTTCCTTTAATAGTACTGATGTTCAGTGAGGAATGAATGGAATCATAGCTTAAAGCAATTCCTTGCTTTAGATTACAATTCCTGGAATATTCGAGTCATTGTACCCCCTGGGAACAGTAGTTCCAAAAAATAGCTCTCCTAGCTTTTATCAGACTCTGATGCACTATCACCTTTCAAACCTTGAATGGGACAAAAGATCTCCAGTAAAATAGAAAGTAGAAAGCTTGATTAAAATATAATTGGTCTCCAATATCTAATAATAGATATCAGACTATCTAACAATTAGCTCTGTTGCTAATGACGTAACTAGATTAAAGTCGAACAGATGTCTAGTGGCTGGCATGTACAGAAGTGAAAGGAAAGTCCAAAAACATATAATTGGAACCTGAAATGTGAGAATCAATATAAATTGGAAACTGTAAAGCATGAAACTATACGTTTAAACATTGTAGTGCTTGGGGTCGGTGAGCTAAAGTGGAATAAAATGGGATATTTTCAGTCAGAGAACTATAAAGTGTTCTACTCTGGAAATGACAAACTCAGAAGAAATGGAGTGGCTCTAATACTGAGGCAAGATATAGTCCAGGCAATTAGGGGCTATAATGCAAGGTTTGACCGAATAATATCAATCAGACTCTGTGGAAAACCTATCACTGTTCATCATTCATGTCTATGTTCCAACTACCAATACTAAAGAAGGTGAAATTGGAAGTTTTATGCAAGCGTCTAGGAGGAAATTAATCAGATATACAGTAAAAACAAGACATTCTTATAACTAGAGATGGGGATATTTGTAGCCGAATACGAATATCCCCCTGCAGGTGGAAATAATGTGGTGGAGATAACCATCTACTCACCATTCGGCCACTGCCGCGGCCTCAACAACACTAATATCCCCCTGCAGGTGGAAATAATGAGGTGGAGATAACCATCTACTCACCGTTCGGCCACTGCCGCGGCCTCAACAACACCTTCCTATCACGCTGTTCTCCACAATGGATTAGCCACTCCGCACCCTGGCAGAGAGGCTTGTCATCCCACCTCCAGCCAGGAGTGGCTAATCCATTGCAGAGCACGGCACGATGGGAAGGCACTGCTGTGCCCATGACAGCAGCTGAATGGTAGTGGACAGTCCAGCTCCATGGGGCTGGACCCTCATTATTTCCACCTGCGGGGCGATATCCGTATTCGTTTATGAATACAAATACCCCATCTCTACTTATAATCATATGGGGTTCGAACACAACAGTAAGGAACAAACTAAACATCGTTGGAAATTTGGCCTAGGGGTCAAAAAATGAAGCAGGAGAACAACTCATAGAATTCTGTGAAGCTAACGATCTATTTATTTCAAATTCATGTTTCAAACAACCAGGCAGCTGTACACATGGACCTCACCAGATGGTCAATATAGGAACCAGGCAGCTGTACACATGGACCTCACCAGGTGGTCAATATAGACAGAAATAGGGCCAGAATCCTGAATGCAGTTTTTCAGCTACTGTCACATAGAGATAAACAGAATGATTACATCAGTAATTAAAGAAATACAGATATCATCTTACTGGCAGAAAGCAGCAATGACTTGAAACAACTTGACAGAAAGGCAAACAAGTTGCCAGAAAGACATACGGGTCCTAGAGCAAATCAAGCCTTAGCAATCTCAGGAGACAAAAAAATTGAAACTGAGGCTGCCCTACTTTCGGCACATCATGAGAAGGCAGTATTCTCATGATGCTGGGAAAGATTGAAGGCAAGAGAAAAAGAGGAAGATCAAATACAAGATGGATTGACTCCCTAAAGGAAGCTACAGTCTTGAATTTGGCTGTTGAGGACAGAATATTTTGGAGAACACCCATTTATAAGGTTGCCATAAGTTGGAGGTGACTTGAAGGCACATAATGACGACGACGACGACGACGACAACAACAACAACAACAACAACAACAACAACAACAACTAGTCATAGAGATGTTGGATGTGGAAAGAAGGGAAATAAGTCTTCTGAATTTGTTTCATTTATTTGGCCAGGTATTAGAATTCTAATATATTAATGCGATACAGCACACAAAGAACTTTGTCTTTGTCTTGACAATTCAGTAATGGGGTTCTGTCTTACAATTTTAAAGAAAAGTTCAAGGATTGTTTCAAGGTCCGCATTCACAAACAAAACTTCAAAAGACTGTTGATTTGAGAGCCATTGTCTGTTTTCTGCTTAACTGGAAATATTGCAGCTCTTCCCTGTTTCTGCTTCTGGGTCATGACACACTGGATCGGTCCTTGCTTTCAGCCTTATCTGAAATCATTTCCAAAGCTATTTTGTGTGTGCACTTAGCAAACTGCCGATTGCACTTCAGGTGCTGCAAAATCAATGGCAATGGAAGAAGGAAAAAAAAAAACCCAAAGTGATTTACAAAGGGTTATCCTGCTGAAAAGACAGTGCACAGAGTTTAAAAGGAGGTGACACAAACGAAGAGGCTGAAAGGAATTTACCAACCAAGTAAGCAAAAGTAGGAAAATATTGACAAAAGTTGTAAGGCCTGTATCATATAGTCAGTGGCAGGCAGCAGTTTGAGACCATTGTTTGGCGGTGTACAAGAAAAGCTTTGTTTGAATGTTGACACTGGACTACATGGACAATGGGGTTTGGGGGTGGGGGTGGTGTTGCCTGCTATGGAGTCTGTAGATTCTCTGGTTGCTTTGCTTTAGATTTTTTTAAATTTTGTTTTGTTTCGGAAACGTTTTAAAGCTTTTTAAAAGGGCTTTTGGAGTTCCAAAGAACATGAATGGGAAAAACATGAAACAAATGATCTAAAAAACCCACACCTTTCCCTTTCATGTAAAATGAAAGGACAGGTCCATGAAAACACTAAAACTAAAGAGAGACCCCCCCACCCCCAAATAACCCAAAATGAAACAAATACGAAAAATGTTCACTGACACATCCCTACTGGCACGTGTTTTTAAGAACTTCCTGCTCCAGGCAATCTATATGATGGCATTTTGTTACCTCCTGAAAGTGTTGTGATTTTGGCAGGCTTTGGGCATGCAAGCTGGTTAATGTTGGATGTTCTTCTTCTTTATTTTTTGTGTTTTATATTATAAACCATGTTATTGAGGGGTTATTGCTTTTTAATTTACCCTCTGAAAATTAAATACTTTCAGCATGTTTAAGGGAGGGAAGCCTCTTAAATAGATCTATATTGCATATGTGCTTTATTTTAGCCAGAAAGCTCTAGCACTTAATGATCTTTATGATTATAATTATAACCTGAACTCAGAATAATTATGCAGCCAAGCATAATTGCAGAAATAAATGTGATAATAGATCAGAACTGTCTTCCTTCCTTCCTTCCTTCCTTCCTTATCCAAATATACCAAGTAAAGGTTAAATGATTCAGCATTATGCTGTGAAAAATCTAATGCTGATTTTGAGCTTCTTCCTCCACAAGAGACGTCTGTACAGACTTTCTCCATCTGAAGAAATTATTGGAGCCCAGTGCCTCATCTGCTGCAGAGATTTCTCAAAGCACTGGGAAACTTTTCTTACATCTGTTCTATCACCATGGATGAGCATTCCTAGAAATCCAGAGTTAAAACCAGATAATAAATGTATTCTTTCTTTCCTAAAGGGAAGAACTTCTGCAAGCTGGGGTGCCAAAATATCCATATCCAGATTACTTCACCCGCACAGATATGGAACTACGGAAAATTGTTGAAACTCAGGTAAAGGCAGATATTAAAAGGAACCCTTTCATGAATTCAGTCTTGTGTATTAGAAACCCTCAATATGCTGTTATCAACAAAACAATCTCAACAGTTCCTAATTATTTTTAGGTACGGGGCACATCCTTTTGTTGTTGTTAGGTTCTGCACAAAATGAGACAAAACTCCAGCTTATAAATCCAAGAAGTGGGTTGTCTGTGTATCCTACTTTCAGACATGAGAATGGAGTTTGGATTGTGTTTTTCAGAAGGATGCAACATAAACACTAGAGCAGGGAGGGCTTGTGAACTATATGAACCAGTTTTTATCCTGTTGGCCTTTTCTGACCTGAAATGCATAAACTCTTCTTCTCAAAATGTGTGGGGCATGGGAGGATTCACACGGGTTTTCCAGGACCTTTCCAGAAGGCAGCACTGAATAAAGAAAAGTGTGCTCTCATCTGGCCTTTGCAGTAAAAGCATGGTCCTATCTTTCATCTACTCTCTTGCCAGATCTGTGCTTCTTGAGGAATAAGTGGGAAAGAGTGTAAGAACATCGACATGAGTGAGTGAAAGGACATGATTCTACATGCCCTCCAAAACAAAAGAGAGAATATTTGTACATCTTAACCGTTGTTTGTTGGTTGGAAATATTTCTATCCTACATGTCATAAAAGTACCTTATATGAGTGTCTATGGTACATTATTTAAGATACTTGAAGTGTTTAAGTACCCTCTAATAAGTAATTAAATGCTGACATGGAAAATATCTGCTTCCCAAGTGAAACTTTTCTAAATGGCTCCACCCAATATGATTGCCAGGTTATTACAATTCTCCCTCTTCTTTATCAGCAATAGTCCCTCATCCTTCAATTGGTTGCCTGACTGGAAGGTTGCCTTCATCAAACAAGAGTGGGGAATGTGTGGCCCTTCAGATGTTCCTGGAGTCCAACACCCACCCACCCCCAATCTTAGCTAGCATAGCAAAGGTGAGGGTTGATACAATTCAGCAAAGACCAGGAAGGCTACATGTTTTCTCTCCCTAAAGGATGCCTGTTGGCCAGTATAAAGTTTTAATATGGTACTTGCACATGAGAGTAGATCTTCATTTCTGAAGCAGAGTCAGAAGCCAGCTTGTTGAACTTAGCAAAAATATAGGTGGCAGTAATAAGGTATTTGCAAATATACACTACCAGAGCTTGCATTTTTTGTGAGTGAAAAATAATTAATGGGACCTTATTATCTACGCATAGCTTGTTAAAAGGGTTAGCATTAGATCACTAATAATGGAATTTATAAAGCAACTTGGTGTGCCTGCACACAAACCATCTCTCAGATCTATTAAAGTCAAAGTTCTTATATTCATAAACCAGTTAAATGGCTTATTTATCACAGCCTTCTACATATTTTCACTGGAAGTAAACAAATTTGCTCAAACATTCCACCTGGAAGGTGTCCAGTGCAAAAGATGTGGTTGACTATATTTTTGTATATTTGTTAGATATTCTTCAGGTGTTTTATATTCAGCACCAGAAATTGATATCCCAACATCCTGAATCAGACTTCAACTTTTCACAACATCTGACAGCTGGTGTGGAATAGCCATCAGCATTTTAAAACATCTGACATGTAGCTGTTAGTAATATTCTGCCAGTATTTGACAATATCTGATATATGTAGTAGAATTCAGAAATTGCTATACTTGTTCATTCATTTAATCAATTGAAATAGTTGATCAATTACATTTTTAATTCAAAATTTATATTTCAATTTGAGGGCAAATTTTAATCACATTGAATTTTGAAGTCATGCAAAACTTTATTTCAGTTGGGTTTTTTTGTTCCCACTTTCAGAAAAAACCACATCAAAATATTAAATACTTCAATATTTGCAATCATTATGATCACTCCTGGCATGTATTGGATATGGGTTCATGAATGTTTTCTTCCTTTGTTGTAATCTCCACAATGGATAAATATCAGAAATGCTAACTTTTTAAAAAAAAAAAAAACCTGTTGCACATGACAATCTTAGCTCTTGCCATCTAACAGCTTTCCAGAGTGTTTTGTGTTTTGAAATGTTCCTAAATTCTGATGTTTTTAAGCTATTTGGAGGTGTGAAAAGAAGTATATTAAAAAAGTTTGAGTTAATTCACCACTGAATTCTGACTCTGGAGGCAGCAAAAATACTAAGTATACTGAAATATATTTTATGACTCTAGGCAGTTCTATCAGCTGATAATAATGGGCATGGTGGCAAACAAACCCCTAAGCTGCTAGTTTATTTATACAATACTTTGTTAGATGAGAGACATTTTATTATTTAAGATTAGCCAGTCTGTAATATAATTGGAAGCCTCCCATAGCATTAATCACCTCCCCAACACAGTTCTTTAGAATTTGAAATCCTTTCCCTTGTGTTTTAAGGTCTTATCCCTCCTTTTTATATGGCTATTATTTCCAAACCCTTTATCTTTGCTCCCCCTTTTAAAAATAAGCTGCACTGTTTTCTTAGTAAACATCAAATTTTTATTACATTCTACTCTGAGTTGCAGTTTTTACACATCAGACTGTATCTCCAGGGCCTCCATTAATGCAGTAATAATGTGATGGAGGCTCAAAACAGAGATATGAACTTCTTCACTGTAGTCGTTACCACTTTTCGTTAATGCTGCACAATATTTGTACAGCTGTTATTGTAAAAAAAACAACAACTGCCTGGTAGAGCTATCTTGGATTTAGGCAAAAAGCACTGGACTAATTAAGTAAGTAAATAGCTTTATAAATACTGTCCATATTCTTTTAATCTTTGTAGTTTATTTTAAACAGTCACACCTACACATTCAGACTGTGAGCATGGGTTGGAAAGATCAATGTGAATATTACTCTAGTTCAGATGAAATCTGAAATCCCAATAGCTACATGATAAAACTTGGCCAAGCTGTTGATACTGTGGATCTCCTTCACTAACAACCTCTTCAGATAGCCATGTTTTAAAAAACATCCATCCATCCATAATTACTGTGTTGTTTTCTTCCCTCTTCCTGTTTCTCTTCACACACTAATTGATCCCTGGTGCTTACTGCTTTTCACATCAATCCCAGGTATTGAACATGGCCTCCCCTTTTCCTCTTTGACCTTCAAACTATTTTGGGCTCCAGGAACAGTGCTTCTGCTTCTGCTATGGTTTCCCCTTTCCTCTCTCCCCCCCCCCTTTTGCAAGGGTCTTTTGTGTGGTAGGACAATTCTTACATTACTTTTCAAGGCAGTTTTTCTTGAGTTCATCCCCCTCCAACCTAACTCCATTTGAATGCAGCTTTTATCATGTAGTAGTACCATATGGTTACGTCCTACATCAGCGAAAAGTCTGATATTTGGTAGCTTTCCTTCATAGAGGACACGTGGGAGATTTTTATATGAGGATGTGCAAAATAAGCTTGTAAACTAAGGATGACAGAAGGGATCAGCCAAGGGAAGGATGATGGCCAAAGCCATACAGTGAGTAGGGTGTTGAATTTGGGAATGGAACATGATTATCCTGTTCAGCCCCACTTCACATGTTACAGAAGTTTCTATATACCGTATTTTTCGCTCCATAAGACGCACCTTTCCATAAGACGCACCGATTTTTTAGGAGAAGAAAACAGGAAAATATAATCTGTTTTCTTCGCTCCATAAGATGCACAGACTTTCCACCCCCCTGTTTTGTGGGAAAAAAGTGAGTCTTATGGTGCAAAAAATACAGTAATTGGGATTGGTACAGAACATGTGCATAGTTTATCATGTGACAACCACACATACAGGCATTGCACCCTCCCTGTTCAAGTTATACATTCTGAGATACTTACTATGTCAAGAAGAGGGCTCTGGCCATTTCTTCACAAGTCTGACCACTTGTCTACTTGTGGGAGGGGGCTATCCCTATTCAGTTATTATAACCCGGAAGTAAGTCTGTAACATGGTGGGGACATGGGGATATTTATAAGTCTGCCCAATTGTTTCCCCAGATGTCAATCACACCAATACAAAGATCAGAAGAGGACCTGTAAGTGAGTTCACCTGAATGCCCATATCATATCTCTGTGCTTGGGATTGCTTAAAAGGCAGCACTCCCAATCACAGAAACTATTGCAAGCATGTTCATCTAAATACCTGATGACACTTCAGCATTGACTACATAGAGGTCTAATTGACAATCCAGGGGGAAGAGATTGAGGGTAGGACTCCCCCTCCCCAGCACAGCTGCAACCTTTCTCACTTTCAAGCTATAATGGCTGAAGAAAGAGAATTCTGCTAATTGTGGATGATCTTTATGTGATGCAGGACCCTGGAAAATCAGGGTGCAGCTCATGTGGAGATCACCCACAGAGAGCAGAGCCCTCTCTCTTCAGACTCACTGCCCTATCTTTGTGGTAGGACAACATAATGACAATAGGGTAGATCCCATCATCCCTTGGTGAATGTACTTAAATATGCAATACAGTATCTGAACAGGGCTACTGACTGGCTTTTGAGCTCTTCAAGCAACACCGCACCAGACACATTTGATTTCGTATTTGCCACTAACATCTAGTTCATTTCTACATAAAATGGATTCTATTTTAAAATTATGTAATACATGGCATTATCAAGATGAATTGGAGCTAATTCCTCATTCATTCTAATAAAGATTCATTATCCCTTTAAATTGTGAATGGGTGATCTCGATGGGACCATCTAGAAGGGGGCTACACTTCCAGTGGGGTGTGGCCAATGTAGAGGGGGTACGGTCACATTTTAAAAAATAATTTGCATTTTTAACTTTTATTGCTTTTTCTTTTAAAGTAAGTCATGTTAATAGATAGATAATTAGCAATTTTACTAAATATAGAATGCTAGTGATAATATTGCATCTGAACCTCTTTCACTCTCTGCAGTGGCAATTTACTGTCTATTTCATCTTATTTTAACTTATGTTTATCACCTTTAAAATGGCCTTTATGTACATTTAGATGCTTAATGCTGCCAGTTCCCCTCTTAAGGATTTATGTCTCCTCTGGAGTCATTCAGTTTAAGTGTTACAGTTTTTAGATATAGCAAGCTCTCTAACAGAATAATTTTGTGTGGCTGTTGTCGTTCAACAGTGGGAGAAGGAGTTACAGCTCAGGCTTAAGCTAGAAGAAAAGCTCCTGGAACTAGAGCTTCAAGAAAAACAAAAACTGGAAGAAGAGCACTTCAAGCAAATCATGAGCTGGCGTTTAGAAAAGCTGCACAAGACAACAAAACCATATGAGCTTCCTTTTCAGCATGAAGAAGAACAGAGCAAAGTAAGCTCCAGCACTCAGGTCTACAGTCCACAGCTATCCCAATCCTAGTCACCAGTCTTCAGAGAGCCTGCACCTTACTGGCAAATCTGTGTAACAAAGTTCAACAACTCTTTTTAAATGAAAAGCCAGCAGTATTGAGTAGTGGGCAAAGAGTGTGTAAGCCATTTCCTAGTGATGATTTCATGTTCAGAACAGTCCCTCCAGCAATGTTTTTGCCATGACATTGCAAATGCATGTATAAAGATAAACAGGAACCTCTGCAGGAACTGAGCAGCTTGGATGTAATTTTGAATGTAAAACCAGAGCGTGGGGGGAAAGGCAGATTTTCAATAAAAACAACAAAAGTACCATTGAGCTTCGTAACATCCATGCATGTGTAATTGGTTCTCTTATTCATAATCAGAGTTCCTTCCTCCTATATACTAGGCTTATGGAAAGCATTTTCTATATAGATCACTTTCAGGAATTTGCATTATTGGAATATATCACAGCCTTGTTTCTTAGTACAGCCAGACATTCTCTCACTCCCCACAGATACATTTCCACATCCAGAGTATTCAATTTCAAAAATAATACATTGGTTCTTGACTTTAAATTCATGATTCACCTCTTCAGAGTTGAATGACTTGTCCTTAAAATTGGACTTTCATGTTAAAAGGTGACTATGACCTTCATCACTAATTATAGCCATATCTGGTGGCAATAATATTGGTGCATTAGTCTCTAGTCCAAGCATTCTGGGACAGGTGACATATCTGAAGGCATGCTGCCAAGGATCTGGCCAATAGAACCCCTGGTAGAATACCCTGTCTCTCTTTGGTTGTGTCTGCATGCAGGATCCTTGTGGATCAGTTGCTGTGCTAAAGCAGAATAATAATAATAAATTGTCTTTGTAGAGGCAGAGATCATGTGATGTACAAGAACGGACCCAGCATTTGCTTTAATTGAGCAAAGAATGGAAGATGAAATTGTGAAGGATTGCATGGTAAAATGGGCTCAAAATATAGGTCATAATATAGAACTAAGTGCCTAGTCACAAAGTTGGGAACGAAATATTAAAATGACTAAATCTATAAATCTAAAAGAAAATACAGTGGTGCCTCATTTAACAACGATAATCCGTTCCTGGAAAATCACCATTAAGCGAAAACATCATAAAGCGAAAATAAAAACCCCATTGAAACGCATTGAAACCCGTTCAATGCATTCCAATGGGGTAAAAACTCACGGTCCAGTGAAGATCCTCCACACAGCGGCCATTTTCACTGCCTGTATAGCGAGGAATCCATCCCTAAACACAGCGGGGAGCCATTTTAATTACCCGTCAGCCATTTTGAAACCGCCGATCAGCTGTTCTAAAAACATCATTTTGTGAAGAATTGGTTCCCGAAGCAGGGAACCGATCATCGCAAAGCGAAGTTCCACCATTTAGGCCATCGTTTTGTGATCACAATTGCGATCACAAAAAGATTGTCATAAAGCGGATTCATCGTAAAGCGGGGCAATCGTTAAGCGAGGCACCACTGTATATACAAAAATATTTTACAGATGATATGTAACACTGGAGAAATTAACAAAAATGTATAAAAATGTTTCTAATAAGTGTTGGAAATGTGAAAAGAAAGTTGGGAGCTTCTATCATATATGGCGGA